GCCAAATGATCTCCGATTGACTTGAAACTTGCGCCTATGCTTCAATTTACATGCTAGGACCTGAAATGTTACAAAGGAACACAACCTAGCGTAAAATAGTCCAAGAAATAAAAAAACTCAAGCCAAAATGATCAAGAAACGAGGGTGCAAACATGTGCAAATACGATGTTATCAAGTAGCCCTCTTGGTTACGCAATCGATGATTGACTTACTCTCTCACTAAACCCAAGGGTTGGTCGGCTTAATCATGCTTAACCAAATTTCTTAATTCAACATATAGGTTCGCCCTACATTAACCTAGATTGGTGACTTAAAAAGCCCAAGGAATCCCAACTCAATTGAGCCTCCCTTGAAAGGGGGTTTTCCCTCTAATCTAGGTTAAAGTGGCCAATTGGATTGCTAAGCACAAACATTCACAATCAACATGAAAAATATTTCAATCATTGAATTAAACAACACCCATAAACAATAATTCAAACCACACAACAACTACATGGTAAATAGTTAGGGTTTCACAACACCCAAGTGAAGAAGGAAACTACACCATGCTAGAGAGGGGAAGAATACAAGAGGAAGAGGTAGAAACCATCATGGTGATGCTTCCAATCTCCTTTGAGCTTGTGTTGATCTTCTCTTGGGGAGAATCTTCCCAATTCACCACTTGGAGCAAACCCTAGCCTTCTTGCTTCTTTGGTTCGTTCTCTCTGTCTAACATCAGAAGAAGAAGACACTTTCTCACTCTTGGGCTCCCATCTCTCTTCCTTTCAGCTCTCCTTTTAAACAGGGATCGGGCTCAGCTCATAGGCTCAGTTCACGGTCGTGAACTCTTGAACGCGTCCGTGAACTCAAGGTTGGCGTCGAAACGCACCGCTTCGCTTGCTCAAGTTCACGGGCAACAGCTCCAGTTCACGGTCTTAGTGACCGTTAACTTGCCTGACGTCAGTAACTTCGGCAAGTGCCCTGGACGCCTTGATGTTCATGGCCCATGCCTGCTCTTCACGGTCTGCTAAGATCGTGAACTCACAAGGGAAACTGTGAACTGCCGGTTTTTCACCTCTTCTACCGGATTTCGCTCCTTTTCGTCCAACGTTCGGCTCCGGGACTGGTTTCACATGTTAGATCCTGAAATGTGCTAAAACACAAGAAAAATAGCATAAAACCACCCTTTTAGGATCGCAATTGCCACAAACGCCTAAGGAAAACGAGGGTAAAATGCGTACAATTAGGCCCGAAGACCGGCGAGATAGGCGATTTTTTATTCAGGTTTTTTGCATTCTGTTTCTATAAAACTTACTCCACCTCATCATATTACCAGAAATAATATTGTTTCAAAAGGTAACATGTACTTGATTTTGGTTCATAAGGCTAATTTTTTATTCGTTGCATCATCCATGTCTCTTTCTTGTTAAAATTCACTATCTTTATCACGTGTTTCCCAACAAAAAAAATACACAACAAGAAGCTATACACCCCATTTCATTCTCAAATTTCATACCTCGCCTTCCTCCGACCAACTGGCCGGGGCCCACACTAATTTTATTATAATACTCAGCCGAGGGCCGAGTGGCCCCAACTCCCACATCCCCCTCACGACCCCACTCTAATTCCCCCCCCCCCCCCCTCCCTCTTAAATCTTTCTTTCCCGAAAGCACAAAGCAGCAGCGGCGGTTGGAAACTCCATCACATCTCCACCTTCCCTCCCCCCCCATCTCTCTCGGTTCCACTCGAATAATTGAGAGACATCAACGGGGTAGCTTGCGTTCGGTTGTATAACCGAGAAAGGAGAAGCGATACCCCTTGGTCAGCTGCGATTCCCCACCATCTCAACCCTTCCATTTTTAAAAAGGTTCAAGTTAGGTGAAAAATTTGTCAAAGACAAAATTAATTAGGAAAATGTGCGGTTTTTGAAGGATTATTCCTAGGAAAATTTTAGAAGGAGGTTAAGGAATCTTGGGGATGAGCTTTGAGGATGTGACCTTGAGGAGAGGTGTTTTGGTAAATAAAAAGGGGTTGTAAATCGAGAAATATCGCCTAAGAAAATGAATTTATTATTAATAGATTTCATGAAATAATCCGGCTAAAGAGAGAATTCTTCGAGTAAGGAATCGAGGAGTCATCTTTTCGAGGTGTGTGTAAAGGTGGTAAAATCTTCGTCGAGGTCTTTTAGTTATGCTTTTCGTTTCAAGTTATTATCTAGTTAATTTTTCTAGTATTGACGATTATGTGCGTGAGGCATCCCACCGCCTACCTAATGGTGGAGGCACGCGTTGTGCTATGTATGAATGTATGGATGTATGTTTGTAATGTATGTTTAATGGTAAGAAGAACCCCCAGGCGGTTGGGCCACTACTGGACGCGGTAGATGGTTGGGTCACTACTGGACGATGATATGTAACGCAGTAGTTGGCCGGGCATGGACTGGATGGCGATATGTAACGCAGTACCATTGCCTTGAGGATAGGTACACTCGACGGCGATACGTAATGCGGTGAACCCAAGTAATAAGTATATGAGTGAGGATAGAACTAGAGAACTTCTATAAGCTATAAAGGATTAAAGCGTTAAGGATGAAAGCGAGAACCACTTTCATGTAAGATAAGAATGTTCTAAGAATGTGTTAGTAAGGGTTTTTCTTAGGGCAAAGGCCTTAGGAAGTAACGACGAGACTGAACCCTTCTCACTCACCAGGTGTAGAGAGGGGAAGAGGACGTGTCCATCTGGAGGAGGTTACCCGAGGAGAGCAGCTGCGACAAGCTTGAGGATGTCAGCAGGATCGGGGTAACAGGATGACACCCCTTTTATTTGATTTGTCTTTATTTCATGTCTTGATGAGTATACTGGGAAACTCAAGGATTGTGTTTTATGTTTTGTTACTTTGGATTGAGGACGTCCAAGTATTTAGGGCATTTTACTTGAGATTATTAACACTGTCGTTGTTGATTTTTGGTTTTGACTAGTAAACCTGTTTTTGGGTTGCTCCGGAGTAAGCGGTTATTTGTGGTTTGAGTTATGGTTTGGTTTTCAAAAAGGATCGGGTTTTTTTCAGTTACCAACCTATAATTAGTAGTTTTACCTAGTTTAGCTTGTAGAGTAGTTTAGTTAATCAAACCTTAATCTAATTTGCTAGACAATGAACTGAAACTGAGTAATAGTACATCTAGAGACCCGAGGATTCAATATTTATTACTTGTACCGCTATATTGCAGTCCCTTTCATTGGTTACACTTGGAAATTGTTAAGAGTTGTGTTTTAGCGAGTCATCAGTCGTCGCCTACCATGCTTAGCCATCAGACGTCGCCTACCGTACTAAATGATCAGCCATCAGCCAACGAGAGTTTTTTCTCCAAGGCAAGCGACGAGCGGGGGGCTTGGCAGCGTCAACAAGGTCTCAACCGATTCTTGCAATGGTTCTTCGTCCTCACCATCGCTTGGCAGCAGTAGAGACAAACGAACCCGATCAGCGACCGACCAAGCATGGTAGCGAGAGTCTATTATCCAGGGCGAGCGGGGGGTGGAATGAGCAGCGGAGCAGCCGCCTCGATGATGATTTCTAGGGTGACGGGCGATGACTTCCTAGGCGTACATTTCTTTCCTTCTCGAGCGACGGTAACTAACGGCGACAGGGAATGTGGCTGTGACGGGGGAAGAGGTATTTCTTAGGGCGACGACTGACATTTTAGAGATTGGGTGAATGGGATAGAATCGTCTATTTGGTTAATATAGGGTAAATTTTTTAAAATGTTAGCGCGTTAAATAGAAGTTCAGTTATATATAGACCAATTCAAAACTAAGGGAGCAGATCTGGTTATGCATTTGCTCTTACACCCACAGATAGTGATGACAATAGGACGAGACGAGGTGAGTACGTCAATGCCCATACCATTCACACCTTAAGTGCGGGTTAGGTGAGGCAATACTTGCGATGGTATATAACACAGTTCCATTCCTATATGTTATATACAAAAAGGATGTGGATATTTAACTCTTTTACAAGAAGGCACAGAGAAAATACTTTCATATATGAATAATAAATACAATAGAGAATTTTTTTTTTGAGAAAAAATATAGAGAGAATTAATGAGTGTGAATAGTTGAAAGATACATTTTTTTCTTTTTTTTTTGGATTACGATATGATTTTATATAGGTCATGAGATGAGAAATACATATACATGTTAATGCAATCATAATAGAACGAGTCTAGATCGAGGAGAAAGACAGACAAGGACGGGAAAGGCGGAGAAGCAATTCCCCCCTGTTGAGGGTTCCTGTTACACGATCCAAGATCAAGAACCGGAGAGTTCTAAAGTAATACACATGTCTCGCACAACGCAACTACCGATCAAATAATATCCATGCCAAACGGGTCGACACCACTATTATTAAAACCGGGCAGGACCGGACGGTTCGATCATGGTAAACCGGACCCGGCCAACTTTCCGGTCCTAATTGTCTGAAAACGCAAAGGAAACTCCCGCCCAGTTATTGACCGGGTCGACCGAATAACCGACAAATCCGGATAAGCCGAACCGGCGGTTATAGCCCACTGTTGACATTCCTTTTTATTTTTATTATTGTTATGGAAATTTATCTTTCTTTTTCAAAACCGAGAGTTTAAATGAAAAGAAAAGGGCAATATTTACTTTCCTTCTTTTACCACTTCCCACTTTTATGGTTTCTTCTGCACCCATCCACCTTACACAATTACACTCCATATTTATCCTTTTTATTCACTCTTTCCCCATTTACGTCACTCTCTTCTTCTCTTAATTCCTTCCCTCTTTTCTCATTTTAAATTTCTCCATACAATTTCTTAATTGCCCAACATAAGCGCTCAAAATCAGAAAAAGTAAAAAGTAAAAACCCCATCCATCGAATAAATTTTTCCATCTTTCTTTATTCTTATTTATTCATAAGGACTATAATTATATTTTTTAATCTTGAATTCTTCAATTAAATATGTCAATAAGATATAAAATTCTCAATTTAAACATTAGTACTTATTCTTATATGTATCATGAAGTCATTTTTATTGTATTTAAGAATATTATATGCCACCAGTTTTATGATCGATTTTATACCAGTTATCCGATAAACTTTAAACCTCTCACTAATCCGGATCATTGCCCGGTCCGGTTTTGACAACACTGCTCGGGACATATCAAGTCCTACACGGTTCCGTTCATAAATTCTCATAACTACCCACTAGCTCATTGTAAAAGAAACGTAATGAATTAATCAAACTATATAATTTTGCACACAGCATTAACGAATGAGATACAATTGCATAAAATCTTGATTTAAAGTCAATTTTTTTTAACTAGACTGACTCGTTGATGGACATGCTGCTAGTGCTAAGCTAGATTCAGACAATGCATTTTGAGGTACTGGCATCTTAAACACATTGCACACATGTAAATAAACAAACAAACAAATGATAAATTAATTAATTGAGGTAAATGAATTGAAACGAATTACAAGGGCACAAGGGGCAATGGAGAGAACTATCATCTTGAGCGGCTATGGTTAAATTAACTAGCGTCCAGGTCAGGTGTTCTGAGTACAAATGGGAATCGCTAATGAGAGATGGTTTTTTCTTTTTTCATTTTTGTTGTTTCTCTCCTTGGTCACATCCTTTCCTCTTTGTTTCTCTCCTTCCCTTTGTTTGTTCTCTCTATGTCTATTTCTCTTTCCCTAGCCATGATTGACTCAATTTTGAGTTAACCCTGAGTTAAAGCTTTTTACTTATTTTCTTTTCTCTTCTCTTCATTTCAATTCTTTCTTTTTCTAAGACCCCCAAAGAAATCATTGATCCAAGAATTTGGGTAGAAAGAAGGGAGAATAAGTATATGCTGGAACAATTTGATATTGAAGATTAATCACTCACATGTAAGTCCTGCAAAACTGAAATCGAGAAAAAGCCGTTGAGGGCGAGGGTGAGGGTGAAAGAGAAAGGGAAAGAGACAGAGTTAGAACGATTAGGGGGAGAAAGAAAACAAAATGGAGACTTCGAGCAGGTCGATTTCCATTGATATGGAGACCTCTTCTCCTCGCGGGAAGGTAACATTTGCTTAAACACATTATATACATTCCTTCATTTTGCATCCTTGTATCGTGTCACCATAATGCAATTTGTTTGGTGAGAAAATGTGCAAAGATAAATACGGAGACCTTTCTCCAGGCATAACATCTCTTCTTCAATTAAGAGAGATTTATGAATTTAAGGTCTATTTTCCCAATGAATATGTCTGACATATAATCGGTATGGGATATTGAATGCTTCATTGGAATGATGAGGATGCATATTGCAAGATAAGACAAAATTCTCGATTTATGATATTGTTGAATTTATTTTGTCTTTTCATACAATGATTTGTTTGTCGTTATTAGATATTCAAGGCCGCGAATTTCTTGGCTTATAAATTGATTGGAATCTGAAGAACAAAAGAAAAGGAAACCCAATGGTTGAGTTTAGGTAGCATGGAATTAATTATTAGAGCCCTATACGCCCTTTGATGATCAAATTGTATGTATACATAGGCTCTTCTTAGTTAGGAGCAGGAATCAGCAGTTGAGGATATACTTTCCCTAACCTCCTTCTCTCATCACAGAATGAGTTCACTGTTTCAGTAAGTTCCCCTTTTATGGGAATTGGGAAGTTCATTTTTCTTGGTTACTATATTTGCATGAACTTAAATTCTATATGGTGCCAACTGTTGATTTGTGTTATATGTTGTACTTTAAACCTGTGCACAGGAGTATGTCATCGACACAGTTTGTGGCTCCGTATGTGTTTCTGTGTACGGAGATCAGGATAAGCCAGCTCTAATTACATACCCAGATTTGGGTCTAAATTGTGAGTAAACTTGTACCATGAAGTACTTTTGCCCTTTTTTTTTTTTTGTGTTGGGTCTTTCTCTTCTGGTACATAAGTTTGATTTTGCTTTGTTTATATGGCACACTCATTTTTCCTTCCCAACCTTGTTTAAATTTGATGATAGTAGTTGCTACTTCTGTTTTGTTGATCAAATTTGGGGAGGGAAGGGATCCACCATTAATGTTCATGCTGACTTAGTTCTGTTATGGTTTGAGCAGATATTTCTTGTTTCCAGGGGCTACTATTTTGTCCAGAAGCATGTTCCTTGTTCCTGCATAATTTTTGCATTTATCACATCTGCCCTCCTGGCCATGAGGTTCGTGGCTTGAACATGTAACTATCAGTATAAGTCTTTTTTTTTTTCTTTGATCACCAGTTCCGTCGCTATTCATTCTTATCCTTGTATTTGTTGAAGAATAATTGCAGTTGGGCGCTGCTACTATTAGTGTTGTTGATCCTATACTTTCTGTTGATGACTTAGCAGATCAAATACTGGAGGTTCTTAACTATTTTGGGTAATTTTTTAATCCTTTGAGAAATTTTGGCTTGGTTTCTCATGAACTGATCCCAACCTTAATTAGGGATGAATCTACTTCATTTTTCTCTCTGCTGGTTTGTGATGTTTATGATTTTCTATTGGAAAAAATTATTCTCTCTTACAATCACATGTAACCTTTTATATTATTCGCTTTACGCGAAACCCAGTAAGGGGCATATCTAGTTCTAACTGGAAACTGCCCAAAATATGGGGTCTATCCATTTATTGTCCTGTTTATGCTAATTTTGTTTGATTTAACTGTAGGCTTGGAGCTGTGATGTGTATGGGGGTTACAGCAGGAGCGTACATTCTAACCCTTTTTGCTGTATGATCGATCTTGCAATTTCCATATTAGATTATGCCTTACGTTGTAACTCTAGTTGTCCTAATATTAGTTCGTGACTTGTTCTGTATATTTCTTCGATCGTTTGGAAACAGATGAAATACAAGCAACGCGTCCTTGGCCTAATACTTATTTCTCCTCTATGCAAAGCCCCTTCTTGGACAGAATGGTTGTACAACAAGGTTCTTTCCTTAGTGCCACCCATTTCTCAGCTTTTATTTTCTTATTTCTTAGGAAGAGCAGAGTGTCTCTTGGTTGGTAGGACATGTTTTCGAATTCGTCGCAAAATTAAATATGCCTCTACCACATTCGCCCTGATATGCTCATCTTGACTTGTAGGTGCTCTCCAACTTGCTTTACTATTATGGTATGTGTGGAGTGGTGAAGGAGTTGTTGCTCAAAAGATACTATAGCAAGGAGGCTCGAGGGAATGCTCAAGTCCCAGAGTCGGATATAGTTGAAGCTTGTAGAAGAGTTAGTTTTGTAGTTCAATGCATTTCTTGATCATTTACTATTTCCCAGCCCACGCATTTCTATATGATCATGAACTAGAACTAGGATTCATGCTTTCCAATTAGTAACCACATAACTTTTCCAAGAAAGAACATAACTAGTATTTTCTTACACCTGCCATGCATTCTCATTTCAGGTACTGGACGAAAGGCAAAGTTTAAACATTTGGCAGTTTCTTGAAGCAACAAATGAGTAAGAGGAACCACCCATTTCCTAGTTCAATTCTATTTGGCATTCAAAGCTCGCTTCCATCTGTCTGTCTATCACAAAGTTTGTCATGATGATTGATGATTGTGGCTTCCTGGGGCTTTGTTGTAGGAGACCAGATCTTAGTGAGTGCTTAAGTAAACTACACTGTCGTTGCCTAATATTTGTGGGAGAGTACTCTCCCTTTCATGGAGAGGCTCTGTATATGACATCGAAGCTCGAAAGGCATCAAAGTGCGTTGGTTGAGGTATGGACACAGGTCTTGTAGTCTTGGTCCTCGATCGGCTTCGGCAAGTGTCAATGTCGAACATTATATGATTTGTTGGGTGTGATTATATGGATTCATTGTGGTACGGTGTTTCTTACAGGTTCAGGCATGTGGGTCAATGGTGACAGAAGAGCAGCCGCATGCCATGTTGATACCAATGGAGTACTTCTTTATGGGGTATGGTATTTACAAACCAGTGAAGCTTAGTGTAAGCCCAAGAAGCACATTGAGTCCCCTCTGCATCTCCCCAGAACTTCTTTCCCCAGAGAGCATGGGGTTGAAGTTGAAGCCCATCAAAACTCGTATACCTATGAAAGTCTAATGGTTACAGGAAACTAGTCATCAAAGGCCTTCTTTTGCCTTACTGTATTCTATTGTTTATATTGGAGCTGCTTCTATCATCGATGGTTAGAGTTGATAGTTGACAAAATCAATGTCAAAGTATGTTAATCGCTGACTGTCGATACCATTGGGACAACGTACGTTTGCAGCACTTAGGAGCACATCAGCGACATGTCACTATTTGGAGAAGTAAACACTTGACCTAGTCCAAAAAAGTGCAACCAATGACTCGACCCGCAAAGGTTCCTCAACTCGGACTAGACCGTTTGCACGATTCACTTGTCAAGCATGCTCACAAAAGACCTTATAAGCTCCTGGATTAAGGTATGGGAGGTCCACATAAGTTGTCTCTTGGCTAGAACTGTCTTAGGGACCGCACGACCCTAGCAACTCATGACATGTCATGAGTTGCTTAGTCATTTTTACCAGGAACACGATGAGAGGGTATAACCCAAATCACACAGGGTATAAGAGCGAATAGTAAATTTCTCAGTCACAGCAGTTACCTTGCAGATGACGGACTTGATGCAGGATTCCATGCAAGTGAGAAAAGTCCTAAGGTCATATTCCACAAGGTCTTCTAATTAATGCATAACTACACAAACCATTCCATCTATGGCAATGCGAAATGGAAAGCTTCTTTAGGGGGTTTCATTCGAATAACAAACAAAGAAATGCCAAGTAAAAGTAAACTTGTTTAGGGGGTTTTCAAATTATAGATGCATAAAAGTAAAGTTACAGTATTGAACAACAAGGTATACTCGAGCTTTCGCCGCATGCAATAAGAACTTGACTAGGTAATGCGTACTTTCGCTTCATATCATCACCTAATCAACGAAGAACAGAGAAGTGAGGATAAAAGAAGATTATTTATGGTTCTCTTGACCTATAATAGATGGTCTATACCAATGTTGGTCTAACAAAATCAAGCATAGATACTACTCGAGGTATAGATGGATGATGATTCCCTCTATACTGGTGTAGCATCAATGGGGCATAACTGGAGTTTCTTAACAATCTACATGATACTGAGCACAATGCATATAGTAGAATACTATAGATTCATAAGCATCAATGATAATAAATTCTTAAATTATAGAGCTACTACAACTAGGAAACTCGAACTATCAAAAAAGTCTCATTTGTATCCCGAACTATTCAATATGACATTTATGTCATGAAGTATTTTTCTATTAATGTTGACCTTCTTTGACCGTTAATTTTTAACAAAAAGTATAATCAGCTGATGTGGCATCTCACGTGGAATTTATAATTATTTTCCGCATAAATGAATAAACTTAAAAAATAACTTAAAAATTATAAAAAACAATCTCCTCCCACGCTCCCAACTTCTACGTCTTCTCTCGTCCTCAACTACATCTGCCACTCAAATCCTTAAGGGGCCAAGTTACAGATCAGAGATCCAATTCCAAGGAGGAGATTTACGGAACCGATTCTGATTCCCACTACGTCACGACGTCTCCTCTCTTGTCACCCTCCCTCCCTCTCGACAGTCGACCATTCTTCCCTTCTTCCTCCGTTACCGCCAATTCTAGTAAGAGAGATCAATCGGGGTGGGGGATTTTGTGGCTTTTCCGACTCCAAGGCAAGATTTGAGAGCGGAGCTAGGCCAATCGGTTTATGGCGGAGCTGTCATCGTCACTACTTGTTTTAAGGTAGCGAGATCTCTGACACAAATCACCCCTCCATCATTGTCATCGTGGTTCTTCCACGACTTCGTCGATACGAAATTCCTAATTTCCTCGCGCTACAATTTCAATCATCTCCGGTCGCACTCCCTATCGTACACTAGACACCAACGCCATCTCCGCCACTCTGTGAATCGAAGAGAGGATCCATTGGTTCTTTGATTGATTTTTTTGTTTATTCGAGTGCTAGGATTTTCGATTGATTGCATTTGGGTTTAGGTTTTGGATAGTGGCGAGGATTTATGGAACTTTTGATGCAAAGTGATAAAGGGGGAATCAGAGGATGGAGAAGAAGTGAGCTTTGCCGCTGAGCTTTGCAAAATCTATCGTCAGAGTTGCCGGCGTAGATCAGCCTGAGGCTTGTCCTCCTCCCACTAGGAGCGGAATCAAAGAACAGAGGCGGAGGGACGCAAATTCTTAGGGTTTTTTTACTTTCTAATTTTTTACTTTTGTTATTTTATAATTAAAAAATAATTTTTAATGATGTGGCATCTACATGACAACAACTTTTTTCCATGTCATCAAATCTGTGACATCCGTTTGGTCCATCGTTATCTATAAAGGTCAATGAAATCTTCAGAACATAAAGGACACACAGCTATCATAGTTTGTGACATAAATGTTAAATTGAATAGTTCGGGAAACAAATGACACTTTCTTGATAGTTCGTGTGTCCTAGTATTGTTAGTGATAAAACCTAAATTGGTGTTATTTTTTTGGGTTAATATTTTTGTAAGGCCTGAACTTTGACCAAAACAAACATCCTGGCCAATCTTTTCGATCTATAACATCCTGGCCTGAACTATGCATCAAAATAAACAATTTGGCCAGATCCGACTTTTGACCGTTAACTTGGACGGTCAAATGCGTTGACTAACGGTCAACGCGCCATGTCACCACTACTCAGTAAGTTTCAATTAATTTTTTTTAATCTACACTTATTTCCATTTTCTTTCCTTTATCATTTTGAACGAAAAAAAAAAACAAATTTTCAATTTCGGGGCAAAACGCATGCTGCTTACCCTACTTTATCCATATCGCTACCCCATCCCCATCCACATAAATCACCCGCCGCCCCAATCCGCCATGGGCGTAGAGCTTATGATGAACTACGGCGGCGGCAACGCAAGCTTCGTCACCAAAATGGAAGAGTCCGCAGTCCAAGAAGCCGCCTCCAGCCTCGAAAGCGTCAACAAGCTAATACGCCTTCTCTACCAGCAGCAGACGCAAGACCAGAACCACCACCGCTCCTCTCCCCCTTCCTCCTACGCCGCAGCCACCCCCCGCCGTCGACATAGAGACCGACTGCAGAGCCGTCGCTGCCGCCGCCAAGTTCAGAAGAGTTATATCCCTCCTCGACCGCACCCGAACCGGCCACGCCCCCTTCCGGAGAGCCCCTGTTCCTGCCGCTTCTCCGTCGACGGAGGCGGCCACGCAGTGGCTTTCACAAATCTCAACCACAACTATCACCACTGCCACCTCCACCAACACCACTGAGCGAAATTCCGCATCCCGAGAGCAGCAGCGACAACGACAAGGTCTACTACGCTACGCCGATTCAGCAGATTCCGCCGTCGCCGCACGATTTTGGCCTCGCGGTTATGAAACCATGCTCCTCCGTTGACTAAAACGGCAAGGATGATAAAGGAAATAAAATGGAAATAGATGTAAATTAAAAAGAAAATTAATTGAAACTTGATGAGTTGGCAGTGACATGGTGCGTTGACCGTTAGTCAACGTGTTTGATCGTCCAAGTTAACGGTCAAAAGTCGGATCTGGCCAAATTGTTTATTTTGATGTATATTTCGGGCCAGGATGTTATAGATCGAAAAGATTGGTCATGATGTTTATTTTGGTCAAAGTTCAGGCCATACAAAAATATTAACCCTATTTTTTTATGCAAAATCATAAAAATTTCATTAAGCTCTAGCTAACTTAGTCAAATAAACAAAGCAGCCTCTCAAACTCTGCTAAACATCTATAGGATGAATCCATCCATGTTTACTATGTAAACCAACTATAAGCTAAAAAAAGCTATAAACAGTAAGGGTTATTGCAACTGGTCGAATTCTTGCTGGAGGGCAGCATCTGTTTGAACTCGAAAAGATACTTCTTCTTCCACCTTCTTGGCTACATGGAGAGGGCTACAAATCTGCTTGTTCCCATACATCGTGCAGCACTTTTCACACCAGATATGATTAATGACTATAGTCCAAATCAAACGACAAACACGCATCTTAGGATTTTTCTTGTTCCATCTCTGCACACACCAATCCATGTAGCTTTCCCAGACCGCCACAGTTGGCGGGGCAGAACCTTTCAGACACAACCTCATAACAAAGACAGTGTAAGAACAGGTGACTAGTAGGTGTTCCCTAGTTTCATCACCCCCATGACATAAAAGACATTTACCCGAGACAGTTTTCCCCCATGAGAAATGCTTGTCTTGTTTGGTAATCTTGTTACACAACGTTAACCAAACAAGCACACCAGGAATGACTTTTGAGCTCCATATTAACTTCCACCAATCAACTTCTAGAGCTTTAAGACGAATTGTATCCCAGATTCTGGTTATTGAATATTTCTTCATCTTCTCACCATTCCGCAGTAGATCAGGAGCAGTCCCCAATACATAAGGAGTTGCACCTCTCTCATTTCAATAACCTTTTTCAAATCCATGTGTATACATCATTTTTTGTCCGGGTTATAAACATATTTAATCAAATAAAATTTAGTTTCAATTTAAGGCTTGCAATAGCAAATCTTAAATGACCTTATAGCTAAAATGTATTCGCAGTGCTTGGATTGGATGTTTGTTTGCCATAATTTGATGAGATCAGCAATAGCAAATCTAAGTTGACACATTCTATTAGTGATGATTTGACATATTTAGACAAGTTAGGCTTCAGTTTGATTGTATGAGAGTTAATTGATTCGTAAGACATTGGGTCTAATGAGAATTGGGTCGCAATTTCTAAAAAATAAAATAGAAGACATTACAATTTTATTAAGATAAATACAATGCTAAATACTAAAATCATTATTACAATCCATAATAATTACAATGTTAATTTGCTATTACATTCTAATTACAATTGTGCAATAAAAAAATTGGGCTCAAGTAGAGGCCCAAACCATAGTCAACTTGGTGAATGCAAGTCAACAGGCTTAAATTGGGTCAAGCCCATATCACAGTCAACCTGGTTCAAGCCCATTTCAAGGTCAACCAATCCCAATCTGCCAAACTAGTCATCTTGGGCTGAAACCCAAACCAGACTCGTACCAAGCCCAACTCGGCCGAACCGGACTGGTCGAATCAGAGCAGGCCCAGCCCAATCAACTACCAATCAGGAAAATACACTAACTTATCCCTACAAGCCAATCAGATTACAACATAGCATTAACCTAAAAACCAATCAAATTACAACACAAATCTAAGCTACTGTGAGTGAGTTTTTCTATTTAAGAGGGAGACATTCTGGCTAATGATTCTTCTTCTTCCCCAGGGGCTGGAGGCTTCTCTGAAACCAAACTCTGCAAAAACCACCCCCAGCAGACTCCCTCTCTTCTTCTTCTTCTTCATCTCTTGATCATTCCCAAACTCCTTCCCTTCCAAAACACACAGCCACAGCCTGAAACCCTCTTCCACTTCTTTCGCCTTCTTTTTCCAGCCACAAGCCCACCATAGACATACAAGTTCTTCTAAACAAAACTCTGCAGAAATAGGGACACCCTCTTAACCCCAGCAGAAATAGAGCAGAACAGAGAGAACAAAACTCTGCAAAAATCCCACTTCCACTCATTTCTTCTTCTTTCTTTTAGCAACACAAAAAACATACACAAGGAAAAGAGATAGCAATAAGACCACCTCGTTCTACTTCATTCTACTCTTAGCCGATACACCACACACACAAACAGAAGCCAAAAAGAAATCCAAAAAGGACAACAAAAAACCTCACCACAAACATCCTCCCCTGCCGCCAACATCAGCAAAAGCACAAAGGAGGTAGCGGACAAAGAAGTTCAAAGAATCAAGGAGAGGCAGAAGCATCACCCAAACAACAAAAAAGGTCAAAAAGGTTGGTAGTCACTAAAAATCATAAATCATCATCCAGTATCCATATAATGCTTAATCCAAGCAGTACAAGTCGACTTAGATCTCTAAAAGCAATCTAGCTAAAATTAACGTCAACCAAATTACAAGATGGTTAATCTCACCACCATGATAACAAAATAAACAAACAAATTGGATTTTTGCTTGCTTTCTTTACAAGTTCATTATATACCTATATTAGCTTTTGTCATCTACTTCATTGTTTCCACTTATCAGTATTTCCATTGATCAATCATATCACATGTTAGAAGCTACACGTTTCCTATATGTGTTTCGTTTTAGTAGTTTTACTTAGCTTTCCACCACATATACAACTAAGCTAACATCAAAACACATAAGCTACAATAAACTTATAGAAATCTCAGATTTGAAAGATACCATATTCGCACGAAATTCCAGTTATAAACACAAAATTTCCATCTGATTTTTCAAGCCATAAACTTCAAAATCCAAAAATTATTATGAACACCACAAAACAGATTCCCAGATTCAAGCACCACGAGCACAAAGATTGCAGATTTACATACATCATAAAAACCACTAATTTGACAACTTAACCAATCCCAAAGTTTATACCTACATCAGGCCAATAGTAGTGACTTCAGGTAGCTATCAGGTTTATGAACTATTGTCATTTTAACACAAATATGGGTTTTTCAAATCATAAACCTAAAACAATCAAACATTAAAACTCAGCATACCAAAATAATAGCTAAAGAACATACCAAACATCATTTTCTAATGCACAATAGCATTCATTTCCAACCTTGAGAACTCCCACCCACATCAATTTAGGATAGAAGTCAGAACCCTTCAAGTATAGTCAAAATCAAAGGCATAAAACGAGCCCTTACCTCATCCCATCACCGGCACTACTGTCCTCGGCGGCGGTGCAGTCTCGGTACTCACCTTTTCCTATAGCTTCCGAGGCCATAAAATCAAAACCCAAAAAGAAGCAAATCAGAAATCCAAACCCAGAAATCTAAAGCCAAACAAAATCCAAAATCTGTCGTCGTCATCTTCGTCACCGGCGAGATCCTAAAATGTTGCCGGCGAATGCCTTTCTTCCATTTCCTTCGACCAAAACTAGAACCAAAACCCCAGAGATAATAAAACACAGTCAGAACCCAAAACCCGCAAAGATCGAATCACCAAATAAATTGAAATCGCCAAAAGAACCCCCAAAACCCGAGTTGCAGGCCAAAAACCCAACTGAAACTTCCGTCCTGTCGGAAGTTGATCCCTCCTCGTCGCCGGTCGGAAGCTGCTTCATTTCCACCGTCGGAGACTACCATCTTTCCACTTCTCGCCTGCAACTTCCACCAAGAACCCAAAAACACAAAAATCAGATACCGAATTGAACTCAAAATCCACCAGAAATCGAAACACAGAGAGAGGTCAGAACCTGAAAAATCTTCGAAAATCCCAAACAAAACCCTAAAAATTGACATGCAATGGTCAGGTAATTTCCCTCTGGCCGCCAGAGTCAATACCTATAGAACAAACCAAATGAGATTTTCTAATTCAAATAATAAGTAAAGAACAAATTAGGAAAAAGTTATGTAAACTACAACAAGAAGAGCGAAGTAAAATAGCTTATATTCATATCAGCACGATACAAATTATCTTTAAATCAACAATGAAAACAGGAATAAGTGCTCCTGTAAAACTAGAAATAGGAGATGCAGACTCGTTAATAATGAAGAAAGTATAATAGCAAAAGGACAAGGAAATTTAGGAGTAGGAATAATTAAATTTGATGTTAACTTACAACAAAGTTTAAGTCTAACGGATGGAAATCTTGATTCCTCAATTATTATAAAATACGAATTAAAAAGAGAATATTTTATAAGAGAAAATAGCCAACCATTTTCAGTAACATATCAAATAAACTACGCCTTAACCAATAGTCATCATAGTTTAGCATTCAAGGATAAAGAAGCTATTACCATAGAAGTTTTATTTAAACCACTAATATATTTAGAATCCCCTATGAAAATAACTAAATCAAACTATATTAATCAAAGAATTAGCCTAGATAGACGAAACCTCTGTAGAAGAATAACAAACAAGTTAAAAGAAGAGGAACAAGAAGAAAAAGAAGAGGTAAAAAATAGGTTAAATACACTTGTATATCCAAAACTTTCACGGTTGTGCCAATAATATCCAAATATCTCGAAATACCACTTATATCCAATTACTTCACATTCTATAACAGTGTTTTTGGATATACAAGTGTATTTAACCAAAAATATTTTGGGAAATGGATAGATTTGGCAAAGAACAACTTTAAAACATGGATATAAGTGGTATTTCGGGAAATTTAGATATTATTGGCACAACCGTGAAAGTTTTGGATATACAAGTGTATTAAACCTAAAAAATATTACAATACTTCATCAAAATGACAACGATAGTGAAATAAAGTAGCTACAAGAATTAAACCTAGAATTAAAAGATAAGATATAAATACTTCATTAAAATGCCTAATACTCACCTTATAAATTCTTTGGTCAGATTCTTGGTATCAGAGCCAAAAAACCCAACCAAGTTAACGAACCCAAGAATAAAAATAAAGAATCCAATACTAAAATGAGAAATGACAAAAATGTGCAACCCGATTCAACCCAACGGGCTCACTTTGACACCCCTATATGTAACATCCCGAACCTTTTTCCGAGCAATATATTGTCCACTTTGGGCCTCGACCCTCACGGTTTTCGCCTTGGGGTGCAATTCAAGGTGACTTCCCATAAGGTCACCCATCCTTGTTGTACTCCACACTGAGCACGCATTACACCCCAAAACGTGTCTTGTCAGTTAAAGTCGGTTTCTTACTTATGAACCATGGATCTCTCTCGTGCTTTGTCGATGTGGGATTCTCCTAAGGTGTTACAATGTTCAAGTAATTATGCACATGAATTGGCACGAAAAAATCTTATTATGAAGGGTAAATAACACCAATTTTCGAACACCACTGAGTTTCCCCTTGGGATGCTACCGGTGAAGTATCTAGGGGTACCACTAATAACTTGAAAATTGAATAAGAGAGACTGTCAAGTGCTTGTGGATAAGATCACTCAAAGGTTGCGTAGCTGGAGAAGTAAACTTCTCAGTTATGCAGGAAAATTCAGCTCATATCCTCTGTCATCTCTAGCACTTAGCAGTATTGGCTTAACCTTTTCCTTCCGCCGCAGTTTATTATCAAGGAGGTAGAAAGATTATGCAATGCTTTCCTATGGAATTCAGTTGAGGAAGGGACTCTGAAGAAGGCAGTAATGGCATGGTTAAAACTGGCAGCCCCTAAACAAGAGGGGGGCTTGGTATAAGAAGTTTTATTTTATGGAACAAGGCATGTGTTTTGAGGCATGTTTGGGATGTGCCAACCTCATGAGGCTCTTTGTGGGTTGCATGGTTTACACGGTATAGGCTGAAACAGAAGACCTTCTGGGAACTATCCCCTACCTTAGCAGGTACACGGATTTGGAAAAAGGTTATTGAAATGAGAGAGGTGCAACTCTTTATGTATCGGGGACTGCTCCTGATCTGCTGTGGAATGGTGACAAGATGAAGAAATATTCAGTAACCAAAATCTGGGATACAATTCGTCTTAAGGCTCCAAAAGTTGTTTGGTGGAAGTTAATATGGAGCTCAAAAGTCATTCATAGACATGGTGTGCTTGTTTGGTTAACATTGGGCAACAAGATTACCAAACAAGACAAGCATTTCTCATGGGGAAAACTGTCTCGGGTAAGTGTCTTTTATGTCCTGGGGGTGATGAAACCAGGGAACACCTACTAGTCACCCGATCTTACACTGTCTTTGTTATGAGGTTGTGTCTGAAAGGTTCTGCCCGCCAACTGTGGGGGTCTAGGAAAGCTACGTGGATTGGTGTGTGCAGAGACGGAACAAGAAAAATCCTAAGATGCATGTTTGTCGTTTGATTTGGAGTATAGTCATTAATCACATCTGGCGTGAAATGTGCTACAGGATGTATGGGAACAAGCAGATTTGTAGCCCTCTGCAGGTAGCCAAGACGGTGGAAGAAGAAGTATCTTTTCGAGACCCCCACAAAGCAGTCTCGGCCTTTCCTCCGCAAAGCACCAGCCGAGCGAGATGGGCGAGCGGCCAATATTGTTGTTCTCCCCTCTACTATGACAAATGCTTGCTTAAGCAAGCAGGAGGCGGGAAAAGGAGGCGATACAGTAGCAGACCAAGGTGGTCGAGATGGGTGAGTGGCCATTCTCCCCTCTACCATGACAACTGCCTACTTAAGCAAGCAGGAGGGGCGAAACAAGGAGTCGATTGGGTAAGCGGACAGTGGGAGAGGATCAATTTGGATACGAGCAGAGCCAAATCCAAAACGTGTCCCCTCTCTATATATTCCACCAAGAAATCACAATTGTTACCCACAACCACACCTGGGAAGTAGCGGCGACCATCTCTGGAGATGCAGCACGGGGAACCGGAAATTGAAGGCGAATAGTTTTGGGTAAGTTATCTACACTACCCGCATTTAGTTAGTTCGTAGAGGAATAACAAGTGAAATGGTTAAGTGAATATGTACATATGTGGGAGGTGCTTTAACATGGCTTGGGCAATTTGTTGTGGTTGATTTTTGACGATTGAGACGTATGGAGTTGATGGGGGAGCAAGGTCGATTAAATGCTAAATTGTTCCATGACACCTTTTGGAATACCTAGTTCATGAAGTCGATGGATTTTAACTATATAGTCAGGTAAGTGTAAAGAGGGTAAATTCTACTCCTTACGCATTCTTTCAAGTATTAGAATTTTCAGTATTTTTGTGAAGTGTTGCTATGGTTGTTACGCTCATGATTGATGATATGTGCTTGTTTGAGTTGTGGTTTATAGTGAATGTGTGATGTTTGCTTTAAAAGCTTTACGTTTATGAGTGATTGTTAAAGTTAAGAACAAGTCCTTTTGTTTTAAGAAGTACTTCACCTTCAAGAAGGTGAAGTCATTTTAAGTGTTTTTAGTCACTAGCGCTAGTCCGTTGCCAGTTGAGATTTTGAGATAGAGCACCAATATGCTCTTGAGATCTTTGAGATAGAGCAACAGTTATACTCTTGAGATACTTAAGTTGAGCAGCAGTTATGCTCTTGAGATTTTTTAAGATGAGCAGCAGTTATGCTCTTGAGAATCGTGGAAGAAGAGCCTTCCACGATAAGTTTAAGTTTTAGGAAAGCCTTGATTGCTTCTTATATGTATGAGTTTGCAACTGGACTAGCTAGTGAGGGATCCCTGTGTCAGTCAAGAATTTAAGTTGAGATTTGAGCTTTAAGAATACAGTTTTAAGAGTTAAGATCTTTGAGAGTGGAAGTACAAACAACTTCCACAAGTTTAAGTTAAGTGTCGGAAGTAAAGAAATCAAGTACTAGAGATTTTAAACGTAAGGGCATAGATTGACCCCAACTCACTCACCAGTTTGAAGAGTTAGAGGAGCAGTTAGAGAGCAGCGAGATCGAGAGAAACCATTCGAGGGAAGTCAGCTAGCGGAGAACGTTACGAGCATCTTGGAGGATGTCCAGTCAGAGTTTCCTATGAGCAGCAACAGTAGTTGGGACTTGTTAGTTATTACATTTTATGATTATTAGTATAGACTGGAGATCGGTTTGAGATTTTAAAGTTTGAGTTTAATTTTCCCACGTGTTAGGGCATTGCTTTAAACTACAAGAGTGTGTTTCAATATTTTATTTATGAAATTTTTCTAGATGCAATTTAAGCTTGAGTATTTTATTTTTCGAGGGCATTTTAGTAAAATTAGTACCCGACCGGGTTAGGGTGTTACAAACATAGTCAATTGCATCCCTATTTCCTTCACATTTGAATTCAATGTGATTTTAGTGTGCTTTAGACGATAATTGCGAATTAGGTACAAAATAAGGTCGTAAGTGTAGAAAGGGGGCAGAAGACTGAAGATCGTGGCCTAGAAGTGAAGATCATGACCGAGATTATGGATCGCGAATTGGAGGGCTTAGGGAGCAAACTTTGTGAAGAAGGAGCCATGCAGAAACTGAGAGTTCCTCGCTTGGATCACGACCACAGTGCCATTTGACCGTGAGTAAGATCATGGCCACGACTCATGGATTGCAACCGCGAAATCAGCCTGCGATCTCCTTGCCTCGACGGCCGAAATGGTAGCGTCGCAAGATCGTGGCCTCGCCATTGAAGATCTTGCCCGTGATCTTTACCTTGTTTGGCTGCGAACTTCTCCGTCCTCTGATGCCTATAAATAGAAGACCATTTCCCCTTCATTTAGAGAGCTGATATTGAGATAGAATTTCAGGTTTTAGAGAGAGAAGCTGAAGGAAGGAGAAGAGGAGAAGGAGCTAGAAGAGAGGAGGCATCTTCCTCGACCTCAAGACTTCTTCAATTTCTTAAATGTATCTTCTTCCCTCCTTTACGGAGTAGTCCTCTAAGGTACTAGGGGTTGTAAACCCCAAACTCTAGCTTTAGGGTTTACTATTTATATATGTATGGATATTTTAGGCTTTGAATGAATAAATTTCTTTATCCAGTTGATTCTATTGCTATTCTAGCTTTGATTGTGTTTGGGTACGTCGTCTTAATCTTCTCTACTAGCCTACTTTATGCTCCAACACTGGGTTTGGAGTTTTAGAGTTAGATGGGTATGTGCCATCAAGCAAATTGAGGTTATATGTATAAATAGGAACCTTTGGTGGTCGAGGCGACCGAACCCCTGCAATAGGTAGCCTTCCTATATAGAGCCAGTGATGAAACCTCGGTTGCGAGGGTGGGTGGTACCCATTGAAAGGAGTTATGGGCTTAATGCCCCAGATACAATAGCTTAGATCGAGGTGATTGTATATGGTCTAAGGGAGGCGTACTCGCAGGCGTCTGGATAACCACGAAGCCCACAGAAAAGAGCTCACTCACCACATTCGATGAACCCTAAGTATTTAGACATTACGTAGTATGTTACACCCCGCTCTTTTCAAAAGCCAAATTGACAGTATACCCTTGGAAAGTTGTTAAGTTCCAACCTTGATATTTAAAGAGGACTCAAACATGAACTAACGGTTCGAATGGCGTCGAGTTTCGTTGTAAAACGAGGAAGTTAAAGTTGTATTTTGAGGTTTGAATCAAAATACAATTAAGTGGGCTTTGAGTGTGGTGGTTCTACTAATGGTTCTCCTTTGGCCAAGTGGGCTTGGTCATAGCCTCCATGGGCGGCAAAGAGAGAAGGGGAAAGAAGTGGGCCAAGCCCTTGTGTGGTGGGCGATGAGAAGAAGAAAGAAAGGGATGAAAATGGAATGGGCTTAGCCCGAGTGAGGGGGATAGTGGCCTTTAGGCCCGGGTGGAGAGAAGGGGGAAAAGGCGAGATAGGAGGAGGAAGTGGGCTGAGGCCCGTTTGGGACAAGGAAGAATCCGGGCTTTGGCCCGGAAGAAAGAGAGGGAGAGAGAGAGAGCGGGCCTGGGGCCGCTAGCACGGAGGAGTTGTTTCTCCTCTGGGGAATCCGACTGAATAAAGAAAAAAAAAGAGAGAGAACAAGGGCTTAAGCCCAGCTCTGGTGGTCGCAACAAAGGAGAGGAGGGGGCAGGCCAGGCCCAAGCGAAGAATGGAGGAGGATGTTCCTCTATGGAATTCGATCAACAACAGAACGAAGAGGGGAAGGCAAAGCAGCGGCGGAAGGCGAACAGGGGCAGAAGGTCACCGAGGGAAATGGAAGTAACGGAAACAATTACTTGGGGTCGTAAGTATCAATTAGTGATAGAATGAGTGGAAATTATTTGGGATTCTAATTGGAGATGGGAGCCGTTTGCTCAGTAGCGAAACAAAAGGGAGGGGATAGAGAACAAGGAGCTCTGCGGCGGCTGAGGAAAAGCAGGGCTCAAATTGAAAGAGCTGAACGGGGACGTTGCGATGAAGAAGACGACGCGATTCCTGAGAAGAGGAGGAAGGCGGGCGATCCGTGGACGCGCAAGGAGTCCCAGGAATGCAGTGGCGACGACAAATCTTGACAGTTACTTCGACGTTCGCGTCGTCCCCGGCGTCGACAAGGCGGTTAATGGAGCAGGGGAGACGGAGAGGATGCAGGTCTACCCTCCGAAGTGACCAAGAGCGTTTGCGGTCCGGAGGTGGCCTCCGAATTGTGGTCCGAGGAGGGGCGTCGAAGATGATGGCATCGGCGGGAAGCTTCAGGCGGCGGTGGAAGACGACGAACCGTTGCCCGAGGAAGAAGAAGAGGAGCCGGAGGAGTGCGATTGTTGTGGATTCGGGGATGGCGAGAAGGATGACGACGACGGTGGCCGGAGCCGCACCGTCGATGGCGGCGGCGGTGTGCAGGTGAGAGTTCCCCTGTTTATTGGAATTCCATGGCGTCATTTTGGAAATTTGATGAATAGGCAAGGGCGTACATATCTTTTTGGAGCTGGGATGATTTTGTAAACGTTTGGAATTTTAGGCGCCGTAAAGTAATTGACCAGGCCTTGGGTGAGTTGGGAATTGGTAAGTGTTTGGGTATCAGGTTGGAAATAAGCCTTTTGGACTTAAATGTTTAAATCAGAAAGTGGAAAGTGGCCTGGAGTGCTGAATGGTGAAATTCTGGGAATTCGGGGCCGAATTGTAAAACCTGGGAATTTCGAGTACCATTTGGTAAATTGCCGTTTTGGGGCAAAAAGGTAATTTTCCAGAATTTTATGGGGAATCTTAGGAAAGATTAAATGGGGGGAAATTGGGATTGAAATTAACCAAATTGAGGGTCGTTTGGTTAGTTACGTTTAGAGATAAGTGAGTTAAGTTTTGCCTAAATATCTAATAGGAGGAAATGCAAAAGGAAGCGAAGCATGAGGAGTTGGAGCGTGGAGTTTCGGAGGATGACGTGGGTCAACCGTCGATTAAGAAGAGTCGTCTTTTCGAGGTGAGTGTAAAGGGGGTAAAATCTCCGTCGAGGTCTTTTAGTTTATGCCTTTTTAATTCAGTTATGTTATTTAATTTTCAAGTAAGCGCGATTATGTGTGTGAGGCATCCCACCGCCTACTTAAGGTGGAGGCATGCGTTGTGCTATGTATGTGTGTGTTTATGATGTATGGATGATGATAATTGAACCCCCGGGCGGTTGGGCCACTACTAGACGCGGTAGATGGTCGGGTCACTACTGGACGGCGATACGTAACGCAGTAGTTGACTGGGCATGGACCGGACGACGATACGTAACGCAGTACCATTGCCTTGAGGATAGGGACACCGGACGGCGATACGTAACGCGGTGATTCCCTAGTAATAAGTATATAAGTTAAGGTAGTAGTAGAGAACTTCTATGATTTAAGGATAAAAGTTGAGAACCTCTATGAGTTAAAGTTGAAATGAGTTGTTAAGGACGAAAGTGAGAACGACTTTCATCTAAGGAAAGGAAATGCTAATAACGTGTTTTAGTAAGGAGATTTCTTAGGCAAAGACTTTAGGAAGTAACGACGAGACTGACCCCTTCTCACTCACCAGGTTGAGGTTGGGCTAGCGGAAGTGCATCCCGAGAAGAAGTAAGATGAGGTAACCGGCCGTGCCAGTACTAGTGAGAAGTCAAGAAGCTGGGTGTAGGGTTGGAGTTAAACATGAAAGTTATTTTATGATTATGATTATGAGTATATGTACTGGAGATTCAAGGTTCAAGATGCTGGGTTAAGTTGTTTAAGTATTTGGATTTTGATTGCCCAAGTGTTAGGGCTTTTCGTTTGAACTTCTTATATAATGTCAGTTTGTTTTTTAAAAAGTGGTTTGGTTGCTCCGGAGTAACCGGTTTTGGGTTTGAGTTGTGGTTTGATTTTTTTGAAAAAGGTCGGGACGTTTCATAGTAGCCCTATGCTAGAGTGAGGGATAGTTCACCGGAGTACCTATATTTAGCTTTATCAATCTCTAGACTAGTTAATTCGCTCAAATCCTCCACACAAACCCTAAAACCAATCAACTAAATAACAACGAGGTAGGAAGTAGGGTAGGGTACCAGGACTCGAGTAGAATACGATAATGATTTTCACTATACGTCAATGCTATCTTAGGTTAAACTTGGCCTAGGATGGGATAGTTGTTGACACGTGCTAACCATTGACAATAATCTGCACGGATGAATGTGATCAAGCTTTTTGGCACTATTGTCGATAGGAATGGCAATGGGGTAGGTCTGTGGCGGGTTTCTTGGTACCCAAACCAGCCCCGTGGCAGATCTTGTCCAGGTCGGGTAATTTATCACGGGTCGCAGGTCGGGGCAGGTCGACCCAATGGGTAGGGGTGGCAGCCGGCCGGTTTTGGTTTAACCGAAAACTAAAAACCTGATTATCGGTTAAACCGAGACGCTTCACATGACTGTCGACCACCGACCGTGAGATAGCCTCGGCTAACCGACCACCGACCGATTGGTTATCGGCTTTTGGTTCGGTTAGCCATGATAACCGGAACCCCTTATCTCTCTCTCTCTTTCCTTATCAATTTCCCAGACGAAATAATTTCCCCCCTTCTCTCTCCCCCAATCACAGCTAACCGAAACCCCTTTTCTCTCTCTCTCTCTTTCCCTATAAATTCCCTAGACGCAATAATACCCCCCCCCCTTCTCTATCTTTCCCAATCAATTTCCAAGACCCCAATAATTCCCCCTTCTCTCTCTCCCCCAATCAATTCCACTTTTCTCTCCAGAAAATCAATTCCCCTTCTCTCTCGTTCTTCTCTCTGTCAATTCCCCAGACCCATTGAATTCCAAAGGCGGAGAGGCAGCAGATCTAGGATGGCACAGAGGCAGCAGGTCTGGGCGTCTGGCGGATAGGCAGAGTCAGCGAAGGGAGGTGGCGACGGAGGCGTGGCCGGCTTCTTGTCTACCCCTTGCTCTGTTCTTGATGGAGCGGCGGACGGCGCCTTCATAGATTCTCGCGGGAAGACGAAGGAGGAGGTCGGAAGAGCAACCGTTTGGGGGGATCAGGGTGGGCCAGCCGTTGCCGTCGGTTAGCCGGTTAACCGCGGCTAGCCGTCGTCGGTTACTCGGCTAACCAACAACGTTCTTTCTGCCTCCAACAACCAACCGCGTTGCTTAAGGATTGGTTTCCGGTTATCTGATAACTGGCGATTATCGGTTGTAACTGGCGATTATCCGATAACCGGCAACCGATCTGTCACCCCTACCAATGGGTATGCAATTTATATGAAAAACATTAGAAATATTGGTTATTTCTATTATAAGACCAAGAAAACAAACAATATTATGATAAATGTAGTTAAATTTTAGAGAAATTGAGGTTTTCACTAATTAACAACTTTATTATAGCTAAATTATGATGTAATAAAAGAAAATTCCTATGTAATTTGACTAAAATTACATGTAATTTAGGCAAGAACGGGTCGAGAATGGGGTGGATCAGGGCAGTTCGGCTCGATGAGAGTACCCATGCCCCCCCCCCCCCCAAACAGGCTAAACAGGTCTGGTAAAAAGGGCCAGGTCGAAATTGCCATCCCTAATTGTCGGGGAACCTTGGTAACTAGTAGAAAACCATTATGTTGTTAGTTTATTCTTTACTTTGTTTTGTTAGTTTGTTTGGTTTTGCGTCTTCTTTTTGTTTTTGTTTCGTTTTGTGTTTTGTTATCCAACTTTGTACGTCACGGGTTGTTGAGGTTGTATTTTGTAGAACTTTTGTATGCGAAGAAGGGATTCTTTGAAGATATTATCTCTTGATATAGAAATTGAGAGAACCCTTCGAAATCGGAGAAGATTTGCAAGACCTCAATCTCCACCAATGGCGGAACATCAAGCTCAAGTTCCACCAAGGCCTAGAACAATGTGGTCTTAATCTTGCCCGGGAATTAATGATATTCAGTCCCCAATAGTGCACCCTAATTTGACGGGGCAAGAGTGCGATGTCACACCAGGTATGATTTCCATGATCAAGAACGATTACCAATTCAAGGGAGCAAAGGATGAAATACCTCATCATTATGTGGAGGAATTTCTGACTGATGGGCTGAATGTGAATGAAGATGTTAGGGAATTGGTTCGCTTACGCCTTTTTCCCTTTTCACTTTCTGGAGAATCTAGAAAGGGGTTCATGATCCAACCTCACCATTCTCATGGGAAGAGCTTTGCAATAAATTTCTGAACAAATTCTATCCCTCCTCCAAAACCGCAAGCATGAGAGCTATCATCAACACGTTCAAGCAGATGGAGCAAGAGACCTTGGGGAAAGCATGGGAGAGATTCAATTTCCTACTCTATAAGTGTCCCCACCATGGTGTTCAAGATAGGAGAAATGTATAGATTTTCTTTAAGGTAATCGAAATCAAAGAGAAGAATCACATCTTGATGACGGCAGGTGGAAATTTGAAGAACAAGGAACCACTGGATGTCCTGAACCTCTTGTAGGACATGCGGAAAATGAGCATGATTGGAAGGAATTACAGAAAGGAAAGGAGTTAAGTCCCATCTTATTTTCATCAATTTCTCCAATGGATGAAGGGACCTAGAGGCCTTCACACTTGATCAGGGTCAAGTTACAACCACTCCACCTCCACTAAAGCAATCTTTTAAGGAGAAATCGTCCTCGGAGGCAGAAAATGGAGTACCCTTGCCAGCTTTGCAGTTAGAATCAACCAACAGTAATGGGAATATGGAGACCACTCCAAGGGAAATAGAGGATCTAGAAGTTTGCATGTCAAAATTCCAGGAAGTTGCAAGGGAGAGCTTTGACCGAACAAAGATAGTAGAATAACTTCTAGGGACTTCCATGAACTGAAGAAGAACCAAGAACGAAGCTAGCGGCGGAAAAAGAAAAGACAAAAGATGGGGAGATCACTTCCCCCAACCCACCAAAAGTTGGGGAATCGATTAACAGAAATTCACAGAGGATGGAAACCCTGGCTACCGGAGAAAAAACTAGGTTGGGGAACAAGGTCTCTTCCTCACCTTACCCCTCCAGGTTCAGGAATGACATTTTGGATAATGAGTTTGCGGAGTTCTTAACCCTTCGGAAGTAAATCCGGATCGAATCCCATTTTTGGATGTTGTGACTCAGATTCCCATATATAGAAAACATGTGATAAACTTGTTGACCAAGAAGGAGAAATTGGGGGAGATCTCGACTTTTGATCTCAACGGTATGGGCTCCCTAGTGCTTTAGAGCAAGCTCCCAAAGAAGAAGAACGACCCAGGGAGTTTCACTATACCTTGCATGATTGGTGGTTTCTTGTTTAAGAATGTTTAGCAGATTTAGGGGCTCGTATTATGTCATCCCCTATCAAGTCTTTAGGAAGTTAGATATAGGTGAACTAGCTCCTACTCAAATGAACATCCAACTAGATGATAGGTCTATTGTTTCATATTTCCATCTGACTTTGTTATCCGGGACATACATGGGGATGTCGATGCTCCTCTCATTCTTGGTCCATTTCTACACCAGCTAAATCTGTTATTGTTGTTCACAATGGTAAAATGCCACTAAGATTACGGAATGAAGAGGTCACGTTCACAAATCAAGCTAGGGTACATATTAATGAAGAGTCTAATGAGTTTCATTTTTTAGAAGAATTACCTAATTTGTATAGTGTGCCTTCTAACGTGTTCCGTGAGTCTGATGATACTCTTGAACGATGTCTTGTAGTAGGTACGGAGATCGCATAGGAGATGAACTTAAACGAGCAACTAAATGCATTGGATAACAAAATTGGTGAAGAAGTGCATGAGAAGATGGAGCCTCTACCAGAAATAAAGCAAATTGCACCGTCAATCGAAGAACCACCGAGTCTAGAGTTGAAGCCCTTACCTGAGCACCTTGAATACGCTTTATTGAGGGAGGACTCAAAGCTTCCGGTGATTATCAATGAGAATCTCACAATAGAGCAGAAGTCAGCCCTCATTCAGCTTCTAAGGAAACATGTGAAGGCTATAGCGATGAAGATAACAGACATTCAAGGGATCAACCCATATTTCTGCACCCATAAAATCAACATAGAGGACACGAGCAAGTTGATGATTCAACCTCAACATTGTCTTAATCAAAACATGGTGGAAGTGGTTAAAACAAAAATAATCAAAATTCATGATGCAGGGATCATCTATCCTATTTCTGATAGCACTAGGGTGAGTCCAACTCAAGTGGTTCCTAAGAAAGGAGGGATGACGGTCGTCCCAAATGACAACAACGAACTTATTCCCACACAGACGGTCACAAGATGGCGTGTTTGTATCGACTATCATAGACTTAACGAGGTTACTATAAAGGATCATTTCCCACTCCCATTCCTCGATCAAGTGTTGGAGCAACTTGTCGGTCATGATTACTACTGCTTCTTGGATGGGATGTGCAATTATTTCCAGATTCCCGTCTCCCCAGAAGACCAAGAGAAGACTACCTTGGCCTGCCCCTTTGGAAGATTCGCCTACATGAGAATTCCCTTTGGTCTCTACAATACCTCTGAAACATTCCAACACTGCATGATCGCTATTTTTGACAAGTTGGTTGGGGAAATGATGGAGTTTTTCATGGATGATTTTTTCTATGTTTAGGGATTCTTTTGCCCTTTGCTTTCGGAATCTGGAGAAGGTTTTGGAGCGATGTGTAGAAACTAACCTCTCACTCAATCGGGATAAATGTCAATTCATGGTTCAAGAAGGGATAGTGCTCGACCATAAAATATCCAAGAACGGTATTGAGGTGGATAGGGCGAAGGTCAAAACCATTAACAAATTACCCCCACCAACTTCCGTAAATGGAATTCGGAGCTTCCTCGGTCATGCCGGTTTGTACAGGAGATTCATACAAGATTTCTAAAAGATCGCTCTTCTTCTAACGAGATTATTAGAGAAAGACGCGATTTTTGAGTTTTCTCCATATAGTGAAGAAATGGTTGACCACTGCCCCTATTATGGTCACCCCAGAATAGACACTTCCTTTCGAGGTGATGTGCGATGAAAGTGACTTTGCCATGGGAGAAAGAGATAAACACTTTCAGCCCATTTGCTATGCAAGTAAGACTCTGAACAATGCTCAAGAGAATTACACAACCACGGAAAAAGAGCTACTTGCGGCGGACAAAGCAGTCAAAATCGGGATTTTAGCCAAAATCGAAAACTGAGGTAAAATCGGAATCCTAAAATCGAATCGTAAAATCGTAGGATTTTAAGTTCCATATGAAAACTAACATATAATCATATTAATAAGGTAAATCACTTAATAACACAAAAACACATAACATTTAAAATGATATTCTCAAGATTAATGTTCCAAAATCATCATTTTAATTTTATTTAATGCATAACTCAGAATAATTGATGAGGAAAGGATACAGCTCATGGGACTTATCTCTTCTTTTTCATAGTGTCTAGGTAGTTTAACTCAAAATAGTACTTCGCCCCGGTTAATTTCAACATCGTCTGCTAATCATGATTTAAAACTAAGAATAAAAGAACTCAAATAGAATAATTAATGCTAGTGGTTGATTAAAATATAATCATTGATTTTTAATAATGATGTTAATTCTTACGTACATACAATATTAGAACAACTATTTTACCAATGAGTTCAACCGGACGAAGGGAAAGGGATTGACCAATCCCTAATTTGATTATTTTTTTTCTTTTCAAAAGTTTTTTAATAGAAAAAATATCTGAGAAGATGCCCATCATTGCCCTTTCTGCCGAAGCAGTTCCGCTTTTTTAAATTTTCTCAAACCTCCCATTTTGTTCTCATTTGATTTAAATCCCGATTTTGGTACAATTTTATGATTTTAATCCCGATTTTAAACGATTTTAAGGTCCACCAATTTTATAGTAAAATCAGGATCAAAATCCCTAAGTAAAAACTTAAAATCCTACGATTTTATGATCAAAAACCTGATTTTGATTGCTTTGGCGGTGGTTTTTGCATTCGATAAGTTTCGGCCCTACCTGGTTCTCTCAAAGGTCATTGTTTATACCGATCATTCCGCTCTCCGTTACTTGATGACCAAAGCTGATGCGAAACCTCCCCTTATTCGATGGGTGCTTTTACTACAAGAATTAGATATTGAAATCAAGGAAAAAAGGAGAGCAGAAAGCCTCATAGCCGACCATCTCTCTAGATTGGAAGGTCCAGAGGCCAAGGAAGAATCTAGAAGAGAGATCCATGCTTCATTCCCCGATGAAAGACTATTTACTGTTCACACACGGGAAAGCCAACTTTGGTTAAGTAGCCCAAATCTTCTCTACAAGCCTAGTTGAGCCTACTAGAGCCCGAGCTTAATGCCCCAGATACGATAGTCTAGATCGAGGTGACTATAAATGGGTTTAGGGGAGGCATACTTGAAGGCGTGTGGATAACCATGAAAGCCCACGGAAAATAGCTCACTCACCACATTTGACAAACACTAAGTATCTGGACATTGCATAGTAGTAATAAGCTAGGGTGAGGGATAGTTCCTCGAAGTATATTTTTTTTTATCATTATTTGATCTCTTAACCACTAGTTCACTCATATCCTCCACACAAAACCTCAAACCAATTGCCTAGCTTATTACTACTATGTTACCGAGACCTGAGAAGTAGTCTAGGTTACCGAGACCCGAGTATAATAAGACCTTGATTGCCACTATACAATAATGCCAGTTTAGGTTAAACTTGGCCTAGGATGGGGTAGTTATTAACACGTGCTAACCATTGACAATAACTTGCACGGATGAAATCGATCAAGCTTTTTGGTGCCATTTCCGGGGAACCTTGGTAACTAGTAGAAAACCATTGAGTTGTTAGTCTAGTCTTTATTTTGTTTTGTTTTGTTTAGTGTTGTGTTTTTGTTCTTTACGTAGTTTGTTTCATGTTTTTCTTTTATCATCCAACTTTGTGCGTCACGGATTTTCAAGTTTGTGTCTTGTAGCACCTTTGTATGCGAAGAAGGGATTCCTTGGAGATAATACCTCATGATATGGAAATCGAGAGAACCCTTCAGAATCTAAGAAGAGTTGCAAGAGATCAACCTCCACCAATGGCGAATCAACAACAACAAACTCAAGTTCCACCAAGGCCTAGAACAATAGGATTTTACTCTTGTCCGAGGATTTAGGACATCCAGTTTCTAATACAATACCCAGACCTAATAGGACGAGAATGCTACATAACATCGGGTATGATTTCCTTGATCAAGATCGATTACTAGTTCAAGGGAACGAAGAATGAAATACCACATCGTCGTGTGGATAAATTCTTATTACTGATTGATGGGCTCAATGTGAATGAGGCTACTAAGGAAATGGTTTGTCTACGTCTTTTCCGTTCTCATTGGTTGGGGAGTCCAGAAAAGTGGTTCATGAGTCAACCCCATCACTCCATTACTTCTTGGGAGGAGCCTTGCAACAAATTTCTAAACTGATTCTATACTCCCTCTACGACTGCAAGCATGTGAGCCATCATTAATAAATTCAAACAAAAGGAGCAAGAAACTTTGGGAGAAGCATGAGAGAGATTTAATGCCATGCTCTTCAAATTCCCTCACCATGGTATTGAAGATTGGAGAAAGGTTGAGATTTTCTTCAAGGGAATCAAAGGCGAAGAGAAGCATCGCATCTTGATGACGGTTGGGGGAAATTTAAAGAACCAGGAGCCTAAGGATATCTCGAACCTCTTGCAAGACATGGTGGAAAACTAACATGATTGGAAGGAATTTCAATGGGAGCAAGAGCATGATGATTTAAAATCTACCTCGCCTCCACTTTACCTGCCAATGGATAACAAAACTGAACAACCACCATTAATAATAGGGGTTATAAGTGGTCCTCATCGCCTAGTTAAGGCCAAGTCAAAGTTACTCAACCTCCATTCATACAACCTATTGTACAGAGATCGCTATCCGAAGCGAAAATTGAAGTGCCTACTACAATCTTCCATTTGGAATCGACTGCCACATGCAACAACATGGAGACAGTTCTGGATCATACGGAGGACCTAGGTGGGTGTATAGTGCATCTCCAAGAAGCTGCAGTTACGACCGAATGAAGTCATTGGGAGAATTTATGGAGACTCTTTCGAGAAACCTTCATGAACTAGAAAAACATCAAGAAAGAAATGAACTCGGTCTCAAAGACTTACAAGAGAAAATCTTGCAGATAACGCAGCTAGTGGCGGATAAGGAGACCATTTCCCCCTTGTAAGAAGTTGGACAGACCATTAACGTCGACCCACCAAGGACAGAAGCATTAATGATTGGAGACCAAGCTACCGGGGAACAAGATTTCTCCTGCACCTTACCCTTCAAGGCTGAGGAACGACATGCTTGATAATAAATTTGCAGAGTTCCTAGAGGTTAACATCCCATTCCTAGAGGTTGTGACTTAGATCCCTAAGTATGCAAGACACGTGAAAATTTTGCTTACCAAGAAGGAGAAACTTGGGGCAATTTCGACTATAGGGCTCAACGAGATGTGTTCAGTAGCACCTCAGAACAAGCTTCTGGATAAGCAAAACAACCCTGGGAGTTTCACTATACCTTGAATGATTGGTGATTTTTTTTTAAAATGTTTAGCAGATTTAGGAGTGAGTATTAATGTCATGCCTTATCAAGTCGTTAGTAAGTTAGACGTAGGTGAATTAACTCCTACTTATATGAATATCCAGCTTGTTGATAGGTCTATCGTTTTCCCCAGGGCATAGTTCATGATTTACTTGTTAAGGTAGATCGTTTTATATTTCCAACTGACTTTGTTATCTTAGACATGCCTGGAGATATCGATAATCCTCTTATTCTTTGTAGACCTTGATTCTCGGTAGACCATTTCTAGTAATACTGTAATAGCTAAATCATTCATTGATGTACAAGGTGGTAAACTGACGCTAGGGGTAGGAAATGAAGAGGTAACATTCACTAATCAGGCTAGGGTACACACCACTGAAGAGTGTGATGAGTTGAATTTAATAGAGGATTTACCTAATTTATATAGTGTGCCTTCTTCCCTATACCATGTGTCTGATGACCCTCTTGAACAATGCCTTGTGCTAGGTACGAAGATCGCATTGGACATGAACCTAAACGAGCAGCTAAAAGAATTGGATAACGGAATGGAAGAAGAAGCAAATGAGAAGGTGGAGCCTCTTCCTGAATTAAAGCGAATTGCGCCATCAATCAAAGAACTGTCAAAGCTAGAGTTGAAGCCCTTACCCAAGCATCTAGAATATGATTTCTTAAGGGAAGACTAAAAAATTTCGTGATTATCAATGCGAACCTCACTATAGAGCATAAGTCGGCTCTCATTCAGCTACTAAGGAAACACAAGAAGGCTATAGTTTGGAAGATAACATATATTCGAGGAATCAGCCCATCCTTCTGCACTCATAAAATTAACATTGAGGATACGAGCAAGCCAGTGATTCAAACCCAACATGGTGGAAGTCTTTAAGGCATAAATAATCAAGTTTCTCAATGCAGGAATCATATATCCAATTTCGGATAGTACTTGGGTGAGTCCGACTCAAGTGGTACTTAAGAAAGGGGGAATGACAGTCGTCGCAAATGAAAATAATAAACTCATCCCTACATGGACATTCATAGGATGGCGGGTTTGTATTGACTATCATAAGCTAACGAAGTTACTAGAAAGGACTATTTCCCCTTCCATTCCTCGATCAAGTTTTGGAACGAC